CCGAGGGTGCCCACAGCTGGCATGGGAAACAGCCAGAGCAGCCAGTTAAACACGTAAGAAAAGGTGCCCACATGGCAACTCTCACCCGATCGACCCGCGTTTGCAAAGGCCTAAACAGACCAGGGCCCAGCTCCAGGAGAGTCAGGAGATCTGCCCTGAACCAGGCAGCTCTGGGGAGTGCCCTCCACAGACAGACACTCCTGACTCCCTGCCAGTGCTCCCAGCTTTTATCCCCCAGCAGAGCCCTGACCTTTGTCAGCTCCCTGCGGGACCCCTGGGGCTCATTTCCCTTCTGGCTCTCCCTGCAGGGCCGGCCGCACCCTGGGGGGAAGCTCTAAGGCAAACTCACCCCTCTGGATGAAGGGCTGTGGGAATCACCCCTATGTCAACCTTAATTCAGGGGCTCAGGGTTCAAACCCCAGCTTTTCAGATGCCTCCTCATTTAAGCAGGCTCTTTCATTTAAATTGCTGACCAGTGTAAGAGCTTCTGGATGAATTTCTGATTTTAAAATGATCATAATGGTTACACCTTGACCTTGGTAAATAGTCTTGTACACTGGGAATTTTGGGGAGGTGGCAGTGGCAGTGGGTTGTCAGTGGAGTGGGTTCACTGCTGAAAAGATCTTGGATTAATGTGCAGCACAGGTGACGAGATCTCTTGGTGTCCTTGGCAGCAAAGGACCATGGAGGCTTCCTGCCCACTGATATGCATAAAGAGCAAGAAAGGTTAATTGCAGCGGAGCTGGAGATGTGACTGGAATGTGTGCTAATTCTGCCCTCCCTAAATGCTCAACATATTTTAGCTGCCTGTCAGTGTGCATCCAATGATACCATTGCTTGGATTCCAGGCATGCCTTTAAACACCTTTCAGACTTTTTAAAAAAGCTGGAAGCAAATAATCAGCATTATTCTGATATCCCAGTCTGGGATAAATAGTGTCTTAACTTATAAAAGCTGCCAAGGCATATAGACACAGAGATACTGAGTCAGGCACACCCAGACACACTCCCAGTGTGTTCTCTTCCACACAAAACATATTCCCCACCTTTTATCCAACAAGCCTAGCTGAGAAGCTGACCAGGCTTCCAAAACATGCACATTACTCTGATGAAGAGAAGCTCTTGGAAAGATCAGGTAACTTTGAGTAAAAACTTTCAATTATAAGCGTCCTGATCCTCTTCCTCTCTGAACTCTTTTCACCAGCATGTCTTTCAGATGTAAGCTTGTGCACTGGCACCTTCCTTCGTTTTTGTGAGAGGTCTGGGTTCCAGTCCTGCCAGGATCACCACAGCCCTGCCCCTCCTGATGCAGATATACCAGTTACCTGGGCTATTTTCAAGGTGTTAATCTTACCCTGAAGGCTAATAAGCTTTATCTTATCCACTATGCATATTAATTGTAGGAGTTATTAGGATAAGCACTGTGCTTTGTTGACTGTGAACATAACTCTCTCCCATTGTTTCTGACAATGGCTGCTGGCTGCTCTCCACTTAGGAAGTGGTTGCAATCATCTGTGGATCCCTCCCATGGAAATCAGTGAGAATTTTTCACCATTCCAGTGGATCACAAAGTAAAAAGATCCCTACCAGCAGACGACCCATAAAGCTACTGATACCTAATGAGCTCTATGACTTCTTGTTATATACAAGAGATATCTAAGTTAAGTGATAAATAAGGTGAAAGCTATAAGATTTCTTCAGATTGTGAACTTTCAGTCCAGACCCTTTGCTGACAAGCTGTGGATTTAAAGATTTAAAACATTCAGAATACAGTTATTTAAGTCAACAGAAGGACTATTTCTTCAGGGACAATTTATTTATCATTGATACTTTTTACTTCCTTTGTCTTTCCCTGTAGTCCAGTAACAACACACATCTTGCAAGATAGGAAAAATTGATTAAATATAGTCTGAGACAGGTATGTAAAATGTAAAGTGTGGCACAGTCAGCAAAGAATAAAATAGCAGGAAATTGCACCTGCAAATTACACTGTCAAATAGACAAAATATCAAAATGATTTTTCCTGCATAGGTCCTTTTTCTGCTTTTGTTCTGAGCTGGATGTACATTGCTCTTTGTCCTGTAGTTTGTTACTAAATTCAGAATAAACTCCTTTTGCTTTGCAGCCATCTCTAGCACGATCTTTGAAATTGGTGACACGTTGGTGATACCAACAGGCCTGGGCACAAGGTCTGTAAATTCAGAGCCATAACATGCCCCTCTATGTGCTCACACAAAACCAGCCCATCCTCTGAAAAACATAGGGAAGAGAATGTGGGCACACGGTCAGGTGGTTTGTGATTCTTCCCGTGCTTCCTCTCCTCTCTGTTGTGAGCTGTACCCCAAAAGGTACAGCAGCCTCACGACAGATTTGCCTCCGGGGTGCTCCATCCAGAAGAGTTTCCTGTAAACTCTGCACCTTGGCATTGAAAGAGCTATTGAGAGTAGACTGATAGCTGAGGCTATCAAAAACCAAACACAGTCATCAAAATGCAAATTCACTGCTAACAGGCCTGACTGATCCAATGAGATTGTGAACCAAAAGCTAGAAATAATCTTCTTCCATGTTTGCGCACACGAAGGGCAGAAACACTACCTCCCAACTCAAACAAAAGGAAATGGCAGAAAAAGACATCTTGAGGTTTGTTTCACAGCTCTGTGTACAACTACTTGCTCTAGTATCGAGTGAAAATATATTGAGCTTGTAACACTGCTTTCAAAATTAGTAGGTACTAAACACTAAAAGCTTTTAGATATATATGCAACACTTTGTCATAAAAAAATTAAGACATGATAAAATATGCTTATAACTGCAATGAAATTCAGTCCAGCTACATAAAGGGATTGTTTTTTAAGCTGTCAGTGAAGTCTGAGGAGCCAGACTGAGTTCCTGCCTTGGCCATGGACAATTTCCATGATAGCAGTCAAAGCACAGAGGGCAGATGGTGCTTCACTCGCCGCTGACACTGTGAAAGCAGCAATGCACCCTTTATTCTGCCCGCTCAGCATGGAACTCATCATCTGGGAGGAGATGGGGAACAGGACTCTCTTCACGTGTTCATCCCTGGGTCAAGGGGAGCGTTTAGCTCTGCAGCTCTCAGAACCATGCACCACCACTCAGTTGTTTCATTCTGATCTCACTCGCATGTCTCAGAACACTGTTCCATTAATGAATTAATGTAGTATGCAAAGGGTTGCTATAAAGTAATTCTGATAAATCTAGTAGCAACAGGATGAGAGTCTCAAAGGACCATTAGTACACTGCACACAGGAAAAATTCAGATTCATCTCTGCTGCAGTCAGACTGAAAACCAGATTGCATTGACTCTTTTAAATAAGCTTGAATGAAATAATATCCTTAGAATAACAAAACTCAGCTGTGTTCGTACACCTAGTCTGCCTCTCTGGAAGCTCCACCAGTCTGCCCCTTCAGGATTTACTTCAACCTCTGGTCTTCAAACTTTCCCTGGGTAGCTGATGTCAGGTCAGCATCACTAAAGAAATAATCCAAAGCTATGTAAAGGCTGAGGTAATTAAAGCAGGTTTTTTTTATATGCTAAAGAGTCTGGCTGACTTTCAGAAGGGGCAGGAGCTTGCCATGGCTTCCACACCCTCTAGAGGAAAAATACACAAGGAAAGGGTTGAAACATAACAGCTGTCACTTGGAAACTAGATTAGGGCTTCCTAGATTAGGATTTTTGAGGGTCTTGAATCAACAGCCTCTCTGGATACTGCAACCATAAAAGATTTTGAAAGTTACAGCCCACATGAGTATTCCTGTCAAGCAGTGCTCTCAAACAGTGCTTTGAGGTGTTTCACATCCCAGACATATCAGCCAAGAACATCACAACTCCAGCTCCTCGTTTCACTTCCCATCAGTGAGCTCCACTTCAAAATACAACTGAACAGGCTGTTCTGTATCTTGCAGACATGCACAAGTATTCCTGGATTTAATTACCAAAGTTTGGCTCTCCAGAAACATTCTTGGATCGCCAAGAACCTGCAGCCTGTTGTGAATACAATTAATTTAAATGAATAGTTTCACCATATGATAAAAAGTTCTTTAAATAAATAGCTGGTGGTTTGCCCAGGAGTCTGATTTGCAGCCCTGGGGTCAGTTCCCTCCAAAGGAATGTCTCATCCTTTAGCAGCTGAGTCAGGGCTCCAACCAACAGTAAACTTTTAGTCTTCAGCCCCAAAATAGACACTCCTTCTAAGCACTGGTGTGTGGGTTCACCCATCCACTGAGACTCAGCAGAGGAGCAGGCAGGCACTGCTGCCTCACTTTGTATTTTAATCAGCTCCTGACACAAACCACTCTCCATCATGTAGGGCACCCAGCAAGTGCTCACAGCTCTTTTAACACCATCATTGTGTGAAAAGACAATTTTATTCTGGGTTATAAACTTTTTAGGACTGGGACAGTCTCCTCTCTGGAGGTTTGAAAGACGACCAAAGCAAAAAGTTCTCTGGCCCATTGCACCTATTCAGGTTTTCACTGGCCTTGCAAAATTCCAGCTTCTCTGCAAACGCTGGTAACGTTGTGTATCTGTGCATCTGTTTGCTCCCTTCCTGCATCCAGCAATCGTGCATAAGGTGAGTCAGCACCTGAAGGGGCTGAGTGCTGATGCCAAAAGGAAGGTCACCACTGGAAAACTCTTCTGTTACTGTTCCTTCAATGTCATGAAGTATATACCAATGCTTAGGTCACACTGCAGGCTGAGCATGGGAATGCACCAGAGGGAAACGTATCTCTTCTGTAGGAAAACTAGCAAGGACCACTTTACTCCTGTTCTGCTTTCAGGTGAAGGAAATAGACAAAACATTTTACTTACTGCATTACCTTTATTTGTACATCATAGTTTTGTGGGACTCAAAGCTTAGGATAGGGAAATGGAGTGTAAGGTGGAGTTTTACCCCTGTTGAAGAACACGGCTACCATCTCGAACACACAGAAAGGAACAAGCTGTTTCCATGCAGCAGAACTGTCAGGATCCAGAGACTAATGGGTTTGTGCACAGATTTTAATGCCCAAAATGCTTGGAATTCCTGCATTGACACAGGCTTGAATATCCAGTGGTGCTAAAAGAAAAAAGAAAAAGAAGAGTTTATCAATTAAAAGATCCTTGTGTCCAGCAAGGAAATGTCTGCTAAATACACAAATTTCAAGCCCAAATTATGGTCCTATACAAGGCTCCTCTTGGTCTCAGTGGATATTGTGTGAAACTTTTATGGTGTAACTCAAAGAAAGGAAATGTCTGTACAGCTTTAAATCACCTTTGTGCTCCTCCTTTCCCATACAGTAGATGCCTTTTGGGACCTTTGTACCATTGGGACACGAGTTAGCTACAGCTGCTATACAGTGGCTTCCTTTGACACCAGGCAAACCACTCTGGGACAGCAGTTCCAGACATTTAGTTGGCTAACAATGAAAACCAAAGCTTCATCAGAATTGTCCAAAGCCTGTCAGAGCCTTGCCCTTGCAGTCCTGCAGTGGGGTTTACTCCTCCTCTCCAAAACTGGGCACTACATTCCTGCCTCAAAGGTACCACATGGGCTAATGTTTAAAGGATAGAAAGGGGCTTAAGCACTGAAACAGAAGAATAATAATATTCTGATCTGGTGACTTACGTTTAGTCTTTTCCAACTTATAGAGAGGCAGACCAGTGCAGAGTTGTTTGATGTGTTCACCATAGAAAAGCCAGTTTCTGAGATTGTTAAAAAGGGAATGACCAGACCGAAACTCTACCCACACATTTTTCGGAGAGTATATTTCCTTCATAGTCTAAAAAGAAAATGTCAGACATCGTCAGTAAAGTAGATTTGGTTTCCTTCTACAAGGACAGGTGTTGAGAATAAACCCAAAATCTAAAATCACATTCCTTTGCCATGCACAAAGCATTATCTAAAGACACAGACTTTTAAAGAAAAATAAATATTTTCAGTGTATTCAGAAACAAATTTCACTATGTACTAATTCTGCCAACATAGCAAAATTGAGCTGCATTACTATCACAATAAGTTGCATTAATTAGCAGTAAAAGTGCTATGTTAGGCTGTCAGAAAATGGGTCAGAACTCAGGTTCATCTCCAGGCAATACTTCCAGTCAATAGGAAAGTCAAAGCCTGGTCAAAGTGAATTGATTTCTAAATTCTGTTATGCAAACAAAATTATTTCAAGTTATGTCAATCTTGAAATATGAGTATGGAACCAAGGAAAAGCCTCTTTGAAGCCCTGGTGCCCTCACCTCGAAGCCGAGTACACTGCTCCCCAGGACAGGGGGTCTGACAGGTCTGGTCACAAGGACAACGTGCCAAACCACAGCAGGGGCCACGACTGCTCTTACAGGACTGTCTGATATGATATCCCCTTGAAGCTCATTTCTTGCCAGATCTATTTCATCATTGCTAAGGCAGTAAAAGGCATTCCTAAGGACAGCTGTTCTCAAGGGCGGGGTGGAGGGCTCCCATCACACCACACAGCTCTCACCCCGTGGCCTTTCTTGCACACAGTACAGCTTTCACTACAAAGTCACCTTTCTTTCAAAAGCCAGGCGTCCAATTTCTTCCAGCTCTGGGATGTAATCCTTATTTATTTTCAGGATGAAGCAGGCCTTCCGTGAAAATAGCCTTGTTGCAATATACCCCTGTGATTAAAAACATTATCGTTAGCTATACGTGAGTGATGGCAGCTCAGCCCATTCTCAGCTCTGACCTCACTGAGGTCAGTGACACCCTTCTGAGTTTCCTGAACTGCCACCACAGGTTTCAGGACAAGTGTTTTAAACTGCACCATCATCTGGGTGAAACAAAGAGATGGCCTAAGAGGAGGAGAGGTGGGGGGTGGTCTTCAAAGGAATAGTGTTTCAGGACAACTTATGGTGAGAATACACTAAATTTCTGAGTTTACAAACTTCCTCAGAGATTAAGTCCAGATAGATTCCTAGATTTACTTACTTTTGAGTAATCAAAAATGGTGTCAGAGGAGTACAGGCCAGAACGAACGTGAACTTCAACAAACTGCTTCTCGTTGTGGATCGTCATAGTCCCAGCGACATAGCTCTGCCCAGGCTCTTGCAGGACAAAGGTCTGTGGTAAAAAGCACAAAATCATTGTTCATCATCTGGCTTGCACTTTTAAGAGGTGCAATATAAACAAATGTTCTCTCAAATAAACAAATATGACTGCTAAAGGGTTAACAACCCTTTAGCAGCCTCAGGAGGCTCCTGAGGTGGAGATGAATTATGCAGCACTGTGTCAAGGTGAGAAAGGAGGGGACAGGCCATCACAGCAGGGTAAGAATAAACAACATGGGGCATACCAGCTGTTACCTGTGGCAGCAGGGACCAGCAAGAGACTGCAACAATCTCCAAATGTTATCTTGAGCAAAGGGGACCTGTGTCCTCCCAGTTTCTTACTATGCACTTGAACAGCACTGCCTCATTGGCTTAGATGATTGTCATCTTTGGCAAATGCTATTTTCCTCTACACTTGGCACTAAGCATCTTGTTGGTATGTTCTGTGCTTTTTTTTCCCCTACTTTATTTGCCCCCTGCCAGGGATCCAATCTCTTTTAAACAAGCACATGCACTCAAAGATTTATGTACTTACTTGCAGTGCAGAAGTCTGAGTCCAAAAGAATCCCAGCAAAATGAGAAGTGCAGCCTGTAAAAGGAAGAAAAGTTCTCACTTGGCAGAAGTACCAGGCAGTGCCATTAAAAACCCACTTCATGAACTGAGGGAAGCAGCTGTAGCATCCCTTTGAAAAATTATCCCTTTAACACTTGTATTATTGGAAAACAACTACAATTCTTCATTGAAAAGATCTTGCTCTCTTTTGCTTGCAACTGAAAAAGCAGAATGACAACTGAAGCATGACATTGTTTGTAGTTTTCAAAAGCCTCCCCTTGATGCCATGTTAGTTCTTGATTGGCCTCTACATCTGCAATTATTAAATCATAATGCCCCTTCTGAACTGTAAAGTTCTGCATTCTTTGCTCAAATGCTGCTTCTTCTGACTCCACGAGGATTGCTGCACAGCCAAGGAATGCAGGTTTCCCACTGGACAACCAGAGAACGATGCACAGATCATAGCAGTCCCAGTGCTGTACCACCTCAGCGCCTTCTCTGTCCTTCTGGGTTTTAAAATAAGGAACTTTTCATGACATAGCTTCAACAAAAAGGGTATACTCACAAATCCGTTCATTTTTCTTTCGGATAAGAACAAGAGGCTGCAGAAAGTAAGACTGCATAAAATCCCAGAAGCATTCAGCATTTATATCTTGCTGGAGGTGTGGGAAACACTTGTCTGAACTTTTTTTTTATGACTTGAACAAGTCGATATTTACATGTCACGTTGTGGTAAGAGTTATATCTGAATTTTGGGTTGACACAGATAACCTGACCCCAATATGTTAAAAGCACTCAATAAGTCAGCTTTTGTAAATTTAATCACTCTACAAATGGCTATTATTTACTGGTTTAAACTTTAGAGGAGTTCCCTCTCTCACTGGTTCCATTTTTTAAATATTTAACAGGATGTTGACCAGAATTAAATGACATCAGCAATAACTCTGCTATTCATGCATACAAAGTGCATTTCATCTTCTGAAATATAATCCCTAACAGCCTGATAGTGTCTGCAGACAAACCCTGGAAAGAAATATCTATGTCATGGTGGCCTTCATGCCAGGCACTGAACAGACCAATTCCTCAGCCATTTCTTTCATCTGATACATACACAAACTCTTAACAAGAAGTGCTGCACATTTTTGATTTGTTACCATGATGTAGACGCACTGAAATTAGTGTCATAATTAGGAATAATAACTGTGCTTCACAAGACAACCTGGGTAACTTCTGGCCTCCTCAGCATACAAAGAAATACCATGAAACTTCAGAGGATGTGTGCTTCACGAGGTCACAGAAGAAAAGGAGCAAGATAGAGATTCCTCCTTTACATCTGCCTCTGTTTTCAGCAGTTTATGAAAGTGTCAGTGACCACATGATATGAGAAGTGTTCTCCTGTGACTACAACCTCACCTGGACTCCTTCTCATCCGTGGCTCCACATTGGCCAGTGCTGGAACCTAGAGGAACCACATGGCTTTCTGCCAGAATGTCAGAACTGAGACCTATTCCCATCTAATAAAACAAGAACTCACCCTAATAGCCAACACAAGTCTGTAATCTCACTCCTTAGAAAAAAGGCAAAAGAGATTTGATGGAATCATCTTTCTGCAAACAAAAAAAGGAAATGGCACATATTTGCTTTATTCCACCTAACTCCACACAGAAAATGTTATCTCAAGTGTAACAAAGCTTTGCTGCTAAGCAATATATCGGAATATACAGATACTGAACTGTGACAAGCATGTTTGGAATAATTAGATTAGATTACATTAGCCTGATGTGTTTCTCCTCTTGAAAGTTAGCTCTGTCTTCATTTCTAAGGTTACAGCTACGTCAGAAATACTCAGAGCAGATTTTGGCAGTCAAGCCTTTCAGAGAAGAAATCTAACAGAGTTCAGGCACAACAAGCTAAAGCAAAAAGCTTCAGTAGATTTTAAATGCTTCAGTTAACTTCCCATTAGTCGTTATGTTTTCATATACGAAAAACAGACTAGAAACATGAGCTGCTGCTTTCTTAAGTATCAATGCTCAGGCACAGGAAAGAGTTGAGCAGCATGTGAAAGAGTAACTTAGTGAAGGAGGATTATAACCATAGCTGTGATCTCGTGATTTTCACCTTACACTGGACCATTTTGCTGATCTGATCAGACAAGGTGCAAAATTAAAGATTAATTTCTAAACCATATTTGACTAACATCATTGCAAGAGAGAACATAGTCCTGGTTGTTCCAGTCACAGTCTAGATATGCTTCCAACAGGACAGCCTTGTTTTTTGGAGAATTCTTCCCCACAGTTAATCCCTCAGTAATACACCTGACACTAGCACGGGTGCCCTCAGAGGCAAGACTGCCCATGACTGTGTCAGAGTCCTCGGGGCATCCTTCTAGACCAGGGAGCTGAAGGAAAGAGGTGCACGAGGACTGTTACCTGCTCCGACTACACTCTCTCCACTCCGCAGGCAGTGAGGTTTAGCTCAGGAAGCTGTGACTCAGAATCTCTTGGAGAACAAGAAATTTCATGTTGATGTCCATATAGTCTTGCTCTTGATACTTTTGACCTAAGTGAAGACTCCCAAGCTTTTCCTCAAATAAAATCCCTTTTTCCTCAGTTGTTACACTTGCAGTCAGGTTGGTCATATCAGGGACTCCAGAAGAAAATGGAGTTTGAGTAATGTTCTAAACAAGAGAAAGGTTGTTACGACACCCGGATATTTATTGTCACAGGAAACTTAATTTCTCTGCCATTTACATAAGGCCAAATACTTTCAAATATATTCTAACTTACCCTGATAAAACATGATTAAGCTACAGAACTACTCTTAATCAATGTAAGTAAAATTGCCAGAAGAATTTAACCCATTATTTCGCACTGCCATCCACTAAAAATCATTTAAACAAAAAAATCTTGAACAAAATAATTGCACAACTTCTGTTCAAGTCCAATTATCAAACAGGAATTTCAACAAACAAGGGAGATGGATTCAATCAAGTTAAGGTGAGATTGCACTATCTTAATAAACTCTCCTGGTGACTCACAGGTTTTTCTTTTCACATACCTTACTTAAATATTTACATTAACAGGGAGTGAGCAGGTAGTGGGAGAAAAATAAAGAACGAAGCAACACCTCAAAAAATAACAAAATTCTCTGTGCTTCCATTTGCATTCAGCTGAGAATCTGAACACTAGATGAAAAGGGGGTATAGACAAGAAAAATCTGTGTGGCACAAAGACAAGTGGGAGTGTTGGTCTGCTGGAGGGCAGAAGGCTCTGCAGGGGGGTTTGGAGAGGCTGGAGTGATGAGTTGAGGGCAGCTGTGAGAGGCTTAACAAGGCCAAGGGTCAGGTCCTGCACTTGGGTCACAACAACCCCAGGCAACACTCCAGGCTGGGGAGGAGTGGCTGGAAAGGGCCTGGCAGAGAAGGCCCTGGGGGTGCTGGTGGCCAGCCGGCTGGACATGAGCCAGTGTGTGCCCAGGTGGCCAAGAAGGCCACCAGCATCCTGGCCTGGATCAGAAATGGTGTGACCAACAGGAGCAGGGAGGTGATCATGCCCTGGACTCAGCACTGGGGAGGACACAGCTTGAGTCCTGTGTCCAGTTTTGGGCACCACAGGACAAGGACATGGAGGGGCTGGAGTGGGTCTAGAGAAGGTCAGCAGGGCTGGTGAGAGGGCTGGAAAACATGGCTTAGAAAGCCTGGCTGAGGGACCTGGGGGTGTTTAGTCTGGGGGAGAGGAGACTGAGAAGAGACCTTATTGCTCTCTACAGCTACCTAAAAGGAGGTTGGAGTGAGGCTGGTGTTGGTCTCTTCTCCCAAATTACCGATGATAGGACGAGAGGAAATGGCCTCAAGTTGTGCCAGGGGAGGTTTCCTTTAGATATTAGGAAGAATTTCTTCCCTGAGAGAGTGGTGAGGCACTGGAAGAGGATGCCATATGCAGTCCCAAGGAAGGGATGTAAAGGGAATCTAAGTTAGCATGCGGAGAGACAGACAGAGCTGCTATTGAACAGGAAGCACTTGTGGAGCAGGTAAATGAGCACGTCTCAAAGGCCTTCTTCTCTACCAGGCACATCTGAGAAACAAATCCAGATTTTCTGAGGCTCTCTATAGCTATCGGTCACGGTTTATTAAAGAGCAATGGACAATATTCCTGGGGAGAGGGACTCAGACATTTGTACCGACCAATTAAATGAACAAAACATTTCCCAAAGTTACTGCAACCCGTAAAGCAAAGACGCTCTTATGCTGTGGCTCTAAACATGACCATCACATTCAGGAAACATCAGAGTCA